GAGCCATTCTTTCAAGTCTAAGCTTTAAGCAGAGCAAGGAAACTGAGTGATACCTGTTTGGGAGTAAGGTAAAGAACTGATGGACATTTTTCACATGTATGCTTGGTTGGTTATTGGTTGGTTTACTGATGCTTTGATTGTTTTAGGACCAGAAGGCTTAAACATGATAAATTGAAGGAGAGGACCCAGAGAGACAGAGCCAAAGAATTCAAAGCTCTAGATGAAAACCAGAACGATGGATCAGGAGCCAGGAGCACAGTGAAAAGGATGGAATGGTACTGACTTTGGCCTTGGAGAATAAAAGAGCCTTCTTCCTTCTATCTAAGGTTAGAGGGAAAGGGCAGGGAATGGATGACCACAGTCAGACTGAAGTTTAGACACAGAAGAAAAGAATGTGACAGCTGTTTATCTCCTTGATTTGGCTATTGCATACTGTATGCGTGCTTTTAAAAATCATGCTGCACATCACAAAGATGTAGATATAAAAGATTTATATATATATCAGAAATTACAATTTAAAAAATAGAAAAAGGATTTCTCTCAGTAGATTTATTTTCTCTGAAAAATAAGACCACGAGAGTAGAGCTCTTAGAGAAGACAGAAAGGTAAGAAGTTAGCTTGGAATAATCACTTTGGAGAATATAAAAGAGATTGCTAAGCAATTCTAAGAACCCAACCGAGGTCAAATATCGAAAACCTTAGCTGTGCTGGTCACCAGAGTTATTTGGTTTTTCTCCTTCAGTCCCCTGCAAATTAGAGTAGAATGAGACTGCCAGATCTTCTTTGAATATTAAGTCTTAGCATTAAAGGGTAGAAGTTTCATGTGCCAGAATTTCACAGCAAAAGCACCTAGCGAGCAGTATTCAGAGCTAGAAAAGCCTAATTGATTAAGATACTGACGTTCTGTGGTGATTGAGAGTGCTGAACTCCCACATGGCCAACCACGGCTCAAGTCCTGGGCCTGTCAGATTGCTTTCTCACTTTCTCTCTTTCTCTCTCTCTCTCACTCTGTCACTCTCTGGTTAAAACTTAAATAAATAAATAAGAATAATTTTTAAAAGAATATTTTTTTAAAAAGATACTGATGTTTTGTTACATCTGTTATAAACTCAACTGGAAATACAGAGAAATACATGCCAAAGCCAAAAAAATAAGCTTTATCAAAAACACTTTAACAAAAAAAAAAAATGTTCCTAGTTTGCAAAACTGGGTGGGAGATGAAATCATTAACCAAAACAGAGAAAACACGCAAAAGAAGAAATAGGTTTCAACAACGGATGAGAAGAAGGGAGGAAGTCAGGAATAATTAACTCAGGAAAATATTTACTATGCTGAGTAGTCAATTGAGTCAGATACTACAATGCCATCAAGTAGGACAAAAATTAGAGGACCAGGAAAAGGCATAATGGTTACATTGCTGGACTTCCACATGGTCAACCATAGTTCAGGTTCTGGACCTGGAGTCTTGAAACTCACGCCAGATGCATGCATGTGTGTGCCCAAAACCCTGGGAGGAGAATGGAGGAGAAGACATTGCACATTGCAGCATGGCCATTCCCCACCCCCTGGGAGGGGGTATTTCTTGCTTTCTGTCTCTCTGTCTCTCTCTGTCTCTCTGATGAATGTACATGCCCTATAGCAAGAATTTCTCTTTTAAAAAATTTTAGAAGTATGACTTAGGTTTAGAATTCAGAATCACCACAGATGAAATAGTTTCTGTAGTATGACAGGAAAAAATGCAGAGCACTGAAGAGTTGAAAAGTAATGGAAGTTGACCAGTTGACCTAGTTGACAGATACTAGGTGTATCTGTCAAAGAACACTAAATTCTACCTGTATTCATGATATAAATGCTGGAAATGAAGGGGAAAATCTTTTTTTCTTTTTTTTTTTCGAGAGGTTTTTGCGATAGGACGCGTACGCTCGCTAGACAGACAAGAGAGAGACAGAGAGATAGAAAGCGAGGAATCATCCCCCAGGGGATGGCCACACCGCAATCCCTTCTCCTCCATTCTCCTCTCAGGATCTTGGGCACGCACGCACATGCACCAGGCGTGAGTTTAAGCCACCGGGTCTGGGACTCAAACCGCGGTTAACTACATGGGAGTCCAGCGACATAGCCATTACGCTAATTGCTGGTCCCAAGGGGAAAATCCTGATGGTGTAAGATTTTTCATTTTTACATTTCTCTAGAATGGCCTGAAAGTGACCCCTCAGTAATGTGATGGGACAGACTTTTAAAATATTTCAGAGATCTTTAGCAAGTCTAGTATTGTTTACTTCAAAATCTCAATGGTTACACTTGAGTTATTATGTCTGAAGTATAAATGTATGCAGTATACGTCAATTTAATGTAGTTTCCATCTTTCTCCTAGAATCAAGGCCTCATTTGTGATTTGTACCTATGAAAAAACTAAATACACAATCAAATACAATTATCTTTTCGTTTACTTGCTGTTGGTTATTTGTAATATTTGAAGGGGACTAGGATGGATTTTATGTTTGGGGGGACTGGAAAACAGTTTTGAAATTGCCAGTCAGCCACCAGCCCAAAGTTTTTAAAGTTAATTGTTGAAATTGCCAGTCAGCCACCAGCCCAAAGTCCTTAAAGTTCATTATTAGGGCATTAAGGAAAACTGACTTCGGTAGACAAAAATATTCATCCTAAGAATTTATCCTTTTATTTAACAGGAAAAATTAAAAGAACAGTAGGAGTAAGTTTTGATAAGTTTATAGGTGTGTGCTTGAAGTTCCAGTTGAAGTAGGTCTGGATCTAACCTCTTTTAAAGTATGTATTGAAACTAGATGCTGCCACCTACTGGACAACTTGCAAATGCTTTGCACTTTCCCAGGAACAGAAAGTTTTACAAACACAGCAAGATTCCTGTTTTCCTACCAATACTTATAAAAACTTTTTTTTTTAATTTTATGACTACAGATAAGTCTCATCAAGATGCTTGTTTAAAGTTTCTTTCTTCCCTCTAATCCCCTTGTAGAGGGACAGAGAAACAGCACCCCAACAGTTATTTTGTTTGTTTGTTTTTACCAAAACATCACGTAAGTTTATTTTAGATGTAACAGCATTGTTAAAATTAACAAGTTTAATTCCTAACTGCACCAAGTAACATTATGTATTTTCCCCCTATACAGTCAATAATTTAACCTAAGTTGTAAATATTTGGAAAGGGCTCATTGTCCTTACAGTGTCTTGACCCTGTGATCCAGCCTCAGCCTTCAGCAAGCCCTGGATCATGGGCAAGCGTCTGCCTGGAGCGCTTAAGGGAGGTCTCCAGACCTGAATCCAGAACCTTAGCATGTGAGATTGCCTCAGTAGAGTAGTGCATGTTACTGCTACCCCTGAAATAATTGTTTTTAATTTTTTAACTAAAAATGGTAGCTAAGGTTCAATGAGTAATGGAAAGAAATTCATCACAGAGCAGAACAGATATAAAAGTTTCATAGCACCTAAGAATATGTGGCTATATTGGAATAGTAGGAATATGGGACTTTTAAAAATCAGAGCTAGGTAGTCAGCCTGGACCCCTCCATTTCTACTCATTTTCTGTGCATGTAGTGAAAATACTTTGTTAAGAGCACTATTTTAAGCTGGTGACTCCATAAGCTTCCTCTTTTGAAATAAGGAAATAATTACATAGTGTAAAAATGTTTAAAAAAAAAAAAAAAGGGCTAAGTAACCTAAAGTACATTGCCAATTCCTTTTTAGTTTTTAAAATTTTTAAGTAACAGATAAAGGTACCAATAAATTGATTGCTAAAAATCAATTTAATAGCTATGATGGACATTTTTTGTTTGTTTGTTTGTTTTCTTTTAGAGGTTTTTGTTATAGGGCGTGTGCGCTCACCAGACAGACAGAGTGAGACAGAGAGACAGAAAGCGAGAAATTACCCCCCAGGGGGGATGGCCACGCCGCAATCCCTTTTCCTCCATTCTCTTCTCAGGATCTTGGGCATGCACGCACACGCGCCCGGTGTGAGTTTAAGCCACCGGGTCCGGGACACGAACCACGGTCGACTACGTGGGAGTCCAGTGACATAGCCATTACACTAACTGCTGGTCCCGCTATGAGGGACATTTTAAGAGGTGCAACCTCAACTTCTAAACAATGGATCAAACTCTTAAACTCACAATATACTGGATGCTTGTAAATAAACTTACAACAAAAAAAGTCAACTGCTTCCAATCCCTGAAATTTCAATATTGTATAAGTGAGTTAAAGGTTATATATAAGACTCCATACTATTTCTGCTTTAAAAGAATATTCACAAATATACATATATACAAAGGGAGAAATAGAAATATATGTACAGTGGGGCCAGCAGGTGGCATGGTGGTTAAGGAGCTGAACTCCCACATGGCCAACCATACATAGTACAAGTTCTGGACCTAGCAACTTGCTTTCTTACTTTCCCTCTCTCCCTCTCTCTCTGTCTGTCTCTCTCTGGTGGGCACAATGCCCTATACCAAATTTAAAAATAATTATAATAAATAAAATTGAATAAATAATTCTTTTTTAAAAAAGAAAGACACATACACAGAGAGAGAATTAATTGGCTGGTCTCAAAAAGTAGGACTAGGAGAGAACAGAAAATAGAATAAATGGGTAATGGATTTTTAGGAAAGGGGCTGCATAAGCCTGAGTGATACCTTCTAAGAGGACCCTAGGCAGTTAGAGGGCTACCTGCATAAAACAGGTGTCCAAAGGCATCTAAAAGGGACAGGAAGTAACGGCAGACATACTTAGTCTTTTCCCAGTTTTTCCCTGCCCTGTACTCCTCACCCTTGAGTAAATAGAAACCCTTAAAGAGTCTAAAACTTACCTAAGCTCAGAGTAGTTCTTTATAACCCTACATAAAGAATCAATTATTTCCCCTAAAGAATCAAATTCACAAAGAAAAGGGGTGGGGAGGATTTTACTTAAATCCAAATAGTCTATGACTCGGAGATAAAAATAAAAGGTACATGACATCTTTATCTACTCACCAACAGTTTCTTCAGATGTAGCAGTCAAAGATAGAAACTTTTTTGTATTTTCTGTCTCCTCATTACTTTGCAAATCTTCACTATTTTTTGCAGACTAATGAAAGAAAAATTAAAGTTTAAACGTGGGGAAAGAAGGCATCACCCTTTGGTTTTTTGGGGTTTTTTAATTCCAAGATGACTACCAATCATGAACATACGAACAAAAAGGCTCAGGCCTTTTTATTCCTTTAATTAGGAAATCTGTTACTATTTCCTTTTCTCACAAAATTCTGCCAATGGATATTCTCAGAGTTAGAGTATATATTTATCATCATATGATAATTACTTTGCCTGAAGCAGCTAAACTTTCTGCTTTTGAAAACCAGTGAGTCAACTCGAAGTACACCGTCAGGTTGAAATTCCAGACCTTTCAAGCTTGGTACTATAGCTCATTAAGTTTCCACTTACAATTCTTACTCAAGGAAATAAAAGCTTGCCTTGAGATTCAAGAGGAAAAAGTGACAGATTAACTTTTCCTGTAAAAATTTACAGAAATTATTTCTCTAGTTTAAACCACTGCATTTTGGACTTCTTAACAAGTTTGTAAAAAATGGAACGAGCAGTTAGCGTAATGACTATGTCACTGTACTCCCATGTAGTCAATCGCGGTCCGAGACCCAGACCTGCTTAAACTCACACCAGGTGCATGTGTGCGCCTGCCTAAGATCCCGAGAGGAGAATGCAGAAGGGATTGCAGCATGGCCATCCTCCCCCCGCCCCCGGGGGGGGGGGTGATTTCTCGCTTTCTGTCTCTGTCTTTCTCTGTCTTTCTAGCGAGCGCATGCACCTCATAGCAAAAAGAAACCTCAAAAAAAAAAAAAAGTTTGTAAAAAATGTGGTTTTAATTTCTTAATTTAATTTATTGACCAGGAAATTTCTCCTGATGTCAGCAGCTGATCAAAAGCCAATCCATTATTACAAGGGTCCTAAGTTTACAGGTGCTCTCCTTTAAGGGGAAAAATTCAAATAAGAGCCAATGGCTATCCACCAACTCACTGCCAATATCTAGTCAACCTCATCCCCTCAATACCATACAGAATAAGAGGCCCAAGAAGACCAAGCAAAGTGTTAATTAAGCATTAGAAATGTCTGAAACAGAAGCAAATGGAGCATAGTGTCAAACCTCAAGTACTTTATAGCTTCCTGAAGAAACCTTTACCCACACAGGAAACAGGGAACCCCCAACTTATTTGTCACCAACTGAAGCAATTAATGTTAAATAGGTGATTCAAATTGTACGTATTTGTCTATTTCACTCTAAATGGAAAGCTCACTGAAGAAAAGCCAAACATACATACTTGATGAAAGCAGTCAGCATACCCCTTCCTAGTCCAGAGAAGGAAAAGCCCCAGCCTGATGCTGGTAAGAGAGGTCTACTGGGCCTGCCCACGGGAAATGAACACACCAGAGCAGTGCCCAGAGCCTGGAATGCTACCCAGAGCCTGGAAAGCTACCCTGTCCAATTCCAGAAAAGTGTCATGCCACTCCTCTTTGCCCTATGCCCACACACACACCACTGCAACTACTTCTGTAAAATAAATCAGTAAGAGTAGATCACATTAAAATCACCGAAGTCCATGCTTTTCCTACTCATCTGAGGCAGCTGCTTCCCTGTTGGCACACAGTCATATAATGCTTACCTTGAGTTCTTCCCACAGTCTTATTCTCAATTCTAGACCTTGCTTCTTAATTTGTTTTTCTCTGTTTTGTCTCTTCACCAGTATTTTATCAAGTCTCTTCATCTTCTTTATAGCATCTTGAAGTTGAGAATCTAATTCTGTTAATTTGGGTTCTTCTATAACATGTTAAAAGTAGGAGTGGGGTTGAAGTTTAGTAAAACCATAAAGCATTGGTTTGTTTTTACTATTCTTTCATTCAACAAATACTTGTGGCCGATGGTAATTATGACTAACACTGGTGTCATTATCTTGATTTACAAGGTGCTTTCACATACATTTTATATAGTTATCTCACATCTTTGTAAAACGGACATTTATCTGTATTTTACAGCTGAGATAACTGGATTCTTTCAAATAACTAATAATGACATTACACTCAGAAGTTGGTCTCTTGGGAGCAGCAGTTAGCGTAATGGCTATGTCACTGGACTCCCATGTAGTCAACCGCGGTCTGCGTCCCAGACTTGGTAGCTTAAACCTCATGCCGGGCGCGTGTGCATGCGTGCCCAAGATCCCGAGAGGAGAATGGAGGAGAAGGGATTGCGGCGTGGCCATTCCCCCTGGAGGGTGATTTCTCACTTTCTGTCTCTCTGTCTCTCTCTGCCTGTCTGGTGAGTACATGCATCGCAAAAAACTCTCCAAAAAAAAAGAAAGAAAGAAAAAAGTTGGTCTCTTATGATGTTAAATCTCAAATTCTTTCTCCTTTATTCCACTATACTTTCTGGATTTGACTAACAAATAAAAAATAGGGAATAAGACACAGACTCCATGGCTGGTGGCAAGGGGAGCTGGACCCCACATGGTCAACTGTGCAGTTCAAATCCCCGCTCCAGTGGCTTGAAAATCATGCTAGACAGGTGTGCATGCACACCCAAAATCCCAACAGGATGAAGAAATGGAGGAAAAGGGATCGTGACATGACCACATTCCATTAGGAATCATTTCTCCCCCTTCCCTCCCTCCCTCTCTCTCCCTCTCTGTGTCTGTCTGTCTGCCTCTGGTGGGTAGATGAACCCTCTGGCCAAAAAAAAATAGACACAGACCCTATCCCAAAGCTGCTTCAGACTAATTAAAAGAGAAGGTAAGTGCGCAAGTAGCTAAATATAACAGCTACAGTAAAAAGCAGTATGTCCTAAGTGGCACAAAGTGGTTCCCATACAGAAGAAAAAAAAACTTATACAAGGTAGTCCTCATAATTAGATGCCTTTTTTTTCTATTCCCCTCTCATTTGTCCTAATTTCTTTTCTTTTTTTAATTATTTTTTTCCTTCGGGATTTTTCACATTTATTTATTTTTATTTACATTCATTCACTGTACATCATTACAACATACAAAATGAGATTGTCCATCCAGAATACATTGTATATTGGTTCAATCAAGCACATCAACATATGTGTTATTGTCAACAAGTAATTTTCCTGTATATTTTGTCTTTTTCCCATCCTTGATTCCCTATCTCTCACCCTCTGCCATCTCCCACCCTCCTCCCACACTGTCTCTGGTATCCATGGTTGCTTTCTGGACTTGACCCTACCGTTAAGCTGGCCATTTTCTTACTTGTTTTAGAACTCTTATTTCTGTCTGTCTGACTTTAGTTTTCTTGCGATAGCACTCCCTTCAGAATTTCTTGGAGAGCTGATCTGGTGTCAGTAAATTCTTTCAGGTTTTGTTTTATCTGAGAATGTTCTTGTCTTCTCTTCCCATATGAAGGATAATCTTGCCGGATAAAGTATTCTTGGTTGAAATTGTTTTTCACTCAACACTTTGAATATATTTTCCCATTCTTTCCTTGCTCACATTGTTTCCGGTGAGAGGTCCACTATTAGCTTGATGAGATATACTTTGTAGGTAACTTGACATTTCGCTCTTGCCAGTCTGAGTATCTTGTCTTTGTGGTTTTGGTCATTCTGGCTATAACGTGTCTTGGAGAAGATCTTCTTGCGCATATTATTCTCATTTTGGGGGCTATTTTCTCAGTCTTCGTGGTGGATTTTACTAGTCCAGTAATTCTGTCTTCTACATCTGAGATTTAATTTTCTGTATGATCTAGTCTGCTTTTAATACTTTCGAAGGAAGTTTTGACTTCCTGTATTATAGCCTTCATCTCCAATATTTCCATTTGATTCTTTTTTATGGTGTGTATTTCCTCTTTTAGCTCTCACAAGAACTTTCTCACTTCCAGGAACTCATCAGCTTTTTTCTTCTGGTGTTCATTGTCTCTCTTCTCTTCCATTTCTGTTTGTTTTGTCACTATGAATATTCTAAATTCTTTATCAAACATTTCCATGAGCTCTATTGTACTATCTGTGGGTGAAGAGGAGCTATTCTTTTCCCTTGGGAGTGAGGTATTTTCTTGGTTTTGCATATTTCTTGTGCCCCTGCAGTGATTTCTAGTCATCTGATGGGTTATTCATTTCTTCCTAATTTCTAGAAGATCAATCTGAGCGATCAGAAGCATACAGGAGGGTGTGGAGTTAAGGAAAATGAGGACCTAAATAGTATTTGGAATTTGGCAACTTTTCACTTAGACCTGTCTAGACACTCAGCAGGCAGAAGCTGAGCAGCAAAGTGATGAGGTACAAGAAAGAGGATAAGAAAACAGAGAAAGAGAAAGAAAAAAAAAAAAAAAAACAGGAAAAGCAAACAAAAAATTATTTATTTGTTCATTTTATAAAATAAAAAAATGAAAACCACACAGCACACGCATGAAATCACTAGATCTCAACTCTCATGGTAGACTCACTTTTCTTCTGTCCTGCCCTTTCATTTACCTAGATAAGAGGGGGGAAGGGGAGGGAATTATTACTAAGATAAAGGAGGATTTCAGAGCCAAGAAAAAACTTTACATTAAAGAGTTTTTTAAAAGAAAATTGAAATGGGGCTGGCAAGTGGCGTGGTGATTAAAGGCACTGGACTCCCACATAGCCGACCATGGTTTGAGTCCCGGACCTGGCAGCTTGCTTTCTCACTTTCCCTTTCTCTCTCTCTCTCTGGTCAAATTAAAAATAATAATAATAACAACAAATGGAATTAAATAAATAATCCTTTAAAAAGAGAAATTCTTAAAAAGAAAAAAAAGAAAATTGAAAAGACAGAGACAGAGAGACAGAAAGAGACAGAGACAGAGAGAGAGAAGGATATGGATACAGAAGCTCTACCAGTGTAAATTCTGAGTAGAACATCTTCATTGCTCTTATCTCTGGAATCACTAGATCTCAGCTCTCAGGACAGACTCATTCTTCTGGCCTGCCCTTTCATTTGCAAGAGTAAATTCTCAGCAGAACATCTTCATTGCTCTTATCTCTGAAATCACTAGATCTCAGTACTCATGCTGGTGTCCTAATTTCTTAAAGAACCTAAAAAGTTCTTAAGTTGTGGGTAATTGATAGGAATTTACTTGAAATTAAGGACTTTTTAGAACTTTTGTCATTCAAATTTTAACTTATGATTAATGATAGTGATAATAATTGCTAACATTTACAAAGTTACCTGATAGGCACAGTGTTAGGTACTACCTCATTTAACCCTGCACCTTAACCCTGAGAGATGGTATAATCATTGTCCTCACCTTACAAATCAGTACATTGAGGCTAATTTATAACAGAGTTACATACATATCCAAGGTGATATAACCAGTAAATGGTAAAATCAGGTTTTCAAATCAGTACATTGAGGCTAATTTATAACATACATACATACATATCCAAGATGATATAACCAGTAAATGGTAAAATCAGGTTGTACCCAAATCTAACTCCAAAGCCAAAGCTCTTAGCTAGTAGGTGAAGTCTGATGAAAGCTAATAATCTAGCAATAAACATAAATGTTCAAATACTAAAATCTCAGCCATCCTAGGTTAGATCATTAGAAGGAAAAAAAAAAAAAAAAAGAGGTGATATTTTTAGAGGAAAGAAACTTATCCAAAAACAATACTAATCTTATTAATAAGGAGGCTTGGGGCTATCCCCATAGCGCATCAGTTAAACACTGTACTGAGACATGGGTCCCAAATGTCCAAGCATGGTTTGGATCCTGGCCCTGGCAGTTTGAAAAACATGCTGGGCATATGTGTGCATGCTCAAAATACTGATAGGATAAATTAATGGAGAGAAAAAAAGGATTGCAGTATGACCATGCCCCATCAGAATTGCTTTCTCTCTTCCTGTCCCTCTCTCTTTTTCCCTCTGGCAGTTAAAAAAAAAAAAAAAAAGATAAAAATAAATAAATAAGGAGGTCCCTCTCATCTCCTCGTATACTTCAAATGCAGCAGTCTCTAGTTCTAAGTCCCACTGTCCATCTTAGCATTCTCAGGCTCCATGTATATAGTTCACCTATTTAGTAGGTACTTAGAAGTAACTCACACAACACTGAAACAATGTAAACAAACACAGTGTAAACTGGGTCAATAGCTAATCTGAACTAGATTGCCTTATTTTCTGATAGCTGTAACCATGAATTACCTGACCTACCTTTGAGAGCGGAGCTCATCCAAAGTACACTAAGTCAGCAGTTTTCAAACTTTATCTCAGATCCTCTTTATAGCCTTAAAAATTATTAAATTAAAAAAGTAGCTTTTGTTTATGAGGATCCCATCTATTGATAATTACTACACTAGAAATCAAAACTGAAAATATTATATTTATTTATTAAATCATTTAAAAATAAACTTCCTATTACTAATTACATCTTAATATAAATATCATATTTTTGTGACAATAACTATGTTCCCCAAAAAATTAGTGAAAAGACCAGCATTGCTTTAAATTTTTAAATTTTTTTACTTTGCTAAAGGGCACATGTGCTTCTCAGAGAACAAGCAAGAGACGGGGTGGAGGAGAGTGAGAAAGCACCCTTCTAATGGTGGATGGTCATGCAACAATCCCTCCTCCTCTGTTTCTTTCAGGATTTGGGGCATATACACACACATGCCCAGCATGTTTTATAAGCTGCCAGGCCCAGGACTCAAACCACACAGTTAGCCACATGGAATCCAACCACCTTAAACACCACACCACCAGCTGGCCCCATTGCTTTAAATTTTTAATACCTGTATTAAAAGAAGACAGCTAGGTTCTTGTATCTGTTTCTATAGTCAATCTATTGCAATCTGTTGTTTTGACTGAAGTGTATGAAGAAAATTTGGCCTCACATAGATGTGTAGTTTAAAAAAAGGCAGGATAAATCTAGTAGCCTATTTAGATAGGATGGGTATTTTCTTTGATACTACACCAAAGGGAAAGTTTGTTAGAGGTTAGTTTAATGTCAAAACTATGGCCACATCAATGAGTTTTTCATTTTTGTTCCATTAAAATCCACAGAACTATCCCTCATATTGCATAGATCCTATGTTGATTATTTGAGAAATAACACTCCATTGCATTAGGCAGGCCTTTAAAATGCGGACTCATTTCATAAAATATTTTTTAAATCACACTTGTTAATATGACCACCAATTTTTTTTTTTTTATCAGAAATGTCTAAGTACTGGGAAGTTATCAAGCTCACAGTAACATACACAAGTTTTCTAAAATTCTAGTTTTTATGTCAAAGCTTAAATTTTTACCACTGGCAACAAATACTCTCAGTAGTTTTCTTTGATACAACAGGCTCACTTTATTTAAAAGAAAGAAAAAGAAAGGAAGGAAGGAAGGAAGGAAGGAAGGAAGGAAGGAAGGAAGAAAGAAAGAGAGAGAGAGAAAGAAAAGGTCTGCCAGGGTCAACCCTAGAAACTAGTGGTTAAGGAAGCCAGATTCCATGTGGCTGACTGTGATTTGAAATCTGACCCCAGCAGCTTGAAAAACATGCCACATACATGTATCTGTGTTGCCCAAAATTCCAACAGGATGGAGAAATAGAGGAGGAGGATTGCAGCATGACCATATCCAACTGGGTAAGCAAAACAATAGGGGTGCTTTTTCCCTCTCTCTGTCTCCCTAGAAATTGCATATGCCCTCTGGGAATTATAAATACATGCATGAGTAAATGAATGAATGTCTGACAGGTATCCATATCTGAATGATAATACCTGTAGTTTATGTTTAATTGATTTCTTCAAGTAAAAATGGTGTTCCATTAAAAAGTGACCGGTTTAGCTCGTAACTCAAACCATTACACGAGTACTTTTCCTCAATACAATCCTCACACTTTGGCATACAGCAGAATTGCCTTATTTGGACTTCCCATTTTACACTGCACGATACTATGTTCAAGTGTCAAGATTTAATAAGTTTAATACTTTTTACTGCTTCATCAAGGGTATCTTTGAGTGACATCGGCTCTTTCTTCCTCCTGCCAGCACTTGATCACAAGAATTGTAATGACTACCGGGATAAATTTGGTGTCACTGTAATGATTCATACTAAGGCACCAACAATTTTACCCACCATTATTTTTATACTCAGTACAAATGTCAATACAGAGGAAAAAAAAGGCAAATAACATCTTAGAATTATTATGAAAATAGTTTCTACCTTTCAGAAACCCTAACAGTGACTCAGAGTCAACCCCACCTTCACCCCACCTCCAGGGCTCTGTAAACCATGGTTGGAGAACTGCTGTTATAATTCATCTGACCAGAATTAATTTAATACCATTTAAAAATCATCTTTTCAATCTAAGTGTTATTAAGATTGAATGAAATTATCCCTAATAAGACATTTACAAATTATGGGATACATTATATTGGGCAATTTTAGTGATCAAAAAAAGTAAAAAAAATCATGCCATAAAACACAGAAATACTCCCTACTTGACTAATATAAAGTGGCCACAAAAACAATTTTATTAAATAGCATATTTTATTATATTTATAAATGTATTTAAGAGCTCTTAATATAATCTTACAAATAAAAAGTGATTACTTGCTCACAAAAAGTACGTTTCATTTCACTTTTTTTGTTTTTCCCCTAATTTGCTGATAAGTACATGTAAATATTTTAAATATGACATCTGTGATTATCATTACCCAGTCACTTAGTGATTATCCTACCTGGACACTCGGGTAACAGCTGATGTTGAACCAAGTCCAGATCTTCCTCTAATCCCTCTTTGGTCAATTCTATTTTCTCAGTGTAGTTTTGTCCTTTCTCATCATTACTATTTCTTCTTTTCTCTGCATTACTGCTAAATGAATGGTCCTCTTTACCATAGTGCAACTTACTTGCAGTATCAACCTAGAAGTCATTTCCAAAAACATAATATCAAAAAAAGTATTTTTTAAAATGTCATATTTCTAGTATACTTTTACATCAATGGAAGCATATATGGGTACATACATACAAACACTAGCATTATTCTAGAACTATGATACCTTTTCGTTAAATATAATTTAGCTAACAATTAAATGTAATAATATTTGTGCCAAAGAAATATGCACTACTCTCCAACAATCTGTATCAACAATGGAGAAAAATGGAAATCAGTTCTGAATGGAACCACTACCTGCCAAGCTCTGGGAATGAGGCTGATGTACCCTGCCATAGGCAGCTACTGAATTGTTGAAAAATGAGTAGTCTGAATTGAGATGTGCTTCTGATGAGGGTATTCTAATAAGAACCATGTGCTTTGCTAATTATTTTATACTGTTCTATTTTGGTTTCCCTCTTCAGTTTGCAAAGTTCATTTTGAAGGATAGGCCCCATGGCCTAGTGGGTAAAAGAGCTGGGTCCCACATGGCTGACCAAAGTTTGAATCTCAGCCCCACTGCCTTAAAAAATACACCAGAGGTACCAGCAGTTGGTATAATGGCTATGTTGCTGGACTCCCATGTAGTTGACTGCAATTCGAGTCCCAGACCCAGTGGCTTAAACTCACACCAGACACATGTGAGTGAATGCCCAAGATCCTGAAAGGAGAATGGAGAAGAAGGGATTGAGGCTTGACCATGCCCCCTGGGGGGGGGTAATTCCTCGCTTTCTGTCTTTCTGGTGAGCCCAAGTGCCCTATAGCAAAAAATCTCTAGAAAAAAAAAACACCAGATACATGTGTATGCATGCTCAAGATCCTGACAGGATAGAGAAGTGGAGGAAAAAAGACTGCAGCATGACTGTACCTAACTAGAGGGTTTGGTTTTTTTTTTTCTCTCTCTCCCCCCACCCATCCCTTTTTCTTTTTGGCAAGTGCACAAACCCTCTGGTAATCTAAAAAAAAAAAAAAGAAAAAAATGGGGGCCAGCAGGTGGCATGATGATTAAGGCGCTGGACTCCCACATGGCCACTTCAAGTGTGGGACCCAGCAGCTTGAAAAACACCCTAAGCATGTATGCATGTGTGCCCAAGATCTCAAGAAGAAAATGAAGGAGAAGTGGCTACAGCATGGCCATCCTCCCAGGGGGTGATTTCTCATTTTCCCTTTCTTTCTCTCTGGCAAGCACACATGCCTTATAGCAAAACCTAAAAGGGAAAAAAAAAAACAAAAAAGGAAAAAAAAAAAAAAAAAAAAAAAAAAAAACCTGATAATGCCAATTGCTGGCAAGGATGCAGAGCAACCAGTACTGTCGTACATTGGTAGTGGGAATAGAAAACAGCCTGGTATATATATACACACACATACATATATACACATACAATAAACAAATAATTACAATTTTAATCATAATCACCAAAAGCTGGAATCAACCTAAATGTTCCTAAATTGGAGAATGAACAAACTATGATACACCCATATGATGGAGTATTACTCAGCAATGAAGAAGAATGAGATTCATCTTGTATGTTAGGAGATAAAAGACTGAAAAGCTACACTCTGATTCCTTTTACATGACCTTCTAGAAAAGTAAAAACTACAAATGTAGAGAATATATCAGTAATGGTCAAGGTGAGCAGAAGTTATTTACAAAGGAACAGAATGAGGTCATTTTTTAAAGGATGATGAAATTGTTCTATAATTTGATTATGATAGCGATTATACCACTCTATGAATTTACCAAAGCTTGGGACCGGCAGTTGGCGTGGTTGTTAAGGTGCTGGACACTCCCACATGGCCGACCAGGGTTCGATTCCTGAGTCTGGTGGCTTGCTTTCTCACTTCCTTTCTCTCTCACACTCACCCTCTGTCTCTCTCTGGTCAAATTAAGAAATAAATGAATTAATTAATTAATTAATGAATTAATTAATTAGTTAAAAAAATTACCAAAGCTCATAGAACTATATACCAAAAAATCAATTTTACTGTATGTAAAATTTTAACTAAAAACTAAGAGATAAAATTAAACACAATACAAATAGGTAAGATAATTTAATACCAAAAGTTAGAAATTCTCCCAAATTAATCTGTAAATTCAAAACAATTTCAATTAAAAACCCAACAGGATTTTTCGGAACTTAAAAAAAAAAAAAAATCATGTAAAAGAACAAAAAGCCAAGATAGCTAAGACAGTTATTCAGAAAAACAAAGGGACGGAGGAAGAGGTCAGCCCTACAGTGCAATAGCAAGCACTGTGCATAGGGAGCCAAATCCCACTTGACTAACTTAAGTTTGAATCCCAACTCTAAGGGCTTGAGAAACATGCTAAGCACATGTGCATGCATGCCCAAATTCCTGACAGGATAAAGAAATAGAGGAAAAAGGATTGTACCATGACTGTACCCCATGGGGGGCAGGGGTGCTTCTCATTCTCTTTCTCTCTCTCTCTGGCAAGCACAAGCACTCTCTGGCAATAAAAGCAAAGCAAAACAAAACAATAAGATGGGATATTCCCTACTAGATATCAGTAATTATTACAAAACTACAAGAGTTAACACACTGGGCCCAACTGTGCTCCATAGGTTGAGACCACATGGGAAGCCTGTGTTCAATTCAGTCCAACCTAAAGCCTACAGAAGCACCTGCCTGTAGTCCCAGATGGGAGGCTAAGTAAGGAGGATTGTTTAGACTCTGTGTTAAAAAGGGGGGAGGGGAAAATCCTGTAGCTCAATAGTTAAGAGAACAAGATCCCACACAGCTGACCACAGTTCAAATCTTGACACGAGAAACATGGTGGATAGATACACACATTCCCAAAATTCTGATGGAAAGGAGAAATGAAGGAAAAAAGAATGTGGTGTGATCACACCCCACTGGGAGGTTCTCTCTTGCTCACAAGTGCCCTCTGGCCAAAAAAAGTTAACACAATATACATTATATTAATGATGCAGGATTAGGTAAAACAAAACAAAGAGCTCATCTAGAACCTATATTTTACAGAGAGCTCATCTGTAACCTGTGTTGTACAAAGTCAATTGCAGGTTAGAGTTCTAGATACATGTTAGGATCATCCAATTAGATGCTACTGTAGGAGATGCAAGAAGCAGAAATGAGGTCAAAACCATCTCCTAGGGACCAGCAATTGGTGTAATGGCTATGTCGCTGGACTCCCATGTAATCAACTGCTGTTCGAGTTCCAGACCCAGTGGCTTAAACTCACTCTGGGCACATGTGCATACATGTCCAAGACCCCAAGACGATAATGGAGTAGAAGGGACTGCAGCATGGCCATACCCCCTGGGGAGTGATTTCTCACTTTCTGTCTCTCTGTCTCTGTCTTTCTGGCGAGCACACGCACCCTATAGCAAAAACCTCTCCAAAAAAATAAAAATAAATAAACCATCTCCTAAATTCCTGATACAGAGTTGGCAAGGTTCTGAGCAGCCCCATTCAGGGATCAGGACCACTGAGGACCCTCTGCCCAGACTTCACCCTCCTGCTCCCCAGACCTAGCCAAGGAGCCAGGTTAGAGCAGTTAGAGTACCCTACTTATTCTGTCTCTCACGTCTAGCTGTTTTCATTTTTTGCCAAAATAATTTTTATTTTTTATTGTTTTTATCTTTTTTTTCTCCTTTTTTATTTTAATTTTTTCCCTTTTCTTTTTCTCTTTACCCTTCTCACTTTTCTGCTCAGCCTCCACAAGGTTTAGATGCTCAGTAGCCAAATATCTGAATACTTTTAGGATCAGATTAATACTCAATTTTCAGTGAATCAGCTGTGCAAAGGGAGAAAAATGGTATTGTTTAGGGACTGCATATCACTTGCTCCTGCATTCCTCTGAAAGCTTAGATTTTACTACAAAAACTAGGAAAAAGTGTTTAATCCATCAGATGACCAGAAACCACTGCAGCAGCACAAGAAATAGGAGAAACCAAGAAAATATCTCTCCTCTAAGGGAAAAGAATAACTCGTCTTCCTCCACAAAAAATACAAGGGAACTCAGGGAAATGTCAGATAAAGAATTCAAAATATTCATAATGACAAAACTAACAGAGATGCAAGAGAAGAGAGACAACAAACTCCAGAAGGTGCAGGAGAAACGAGACCAGTTCCAGAAGTTGAGGAAGTTCCTGCACGATCTGAAAGAGGAGATACACATCATGACAAAGAATCAAATGGAATTGTTAGAGATGAAAGCTATAATACAGGAAATCAAAACCTCCCTTGAAAATATCCAAAGCAGATTAGATCAGGCAGAAGATCAAATCTCAGATGTAGAAGATAGAACCTCTGATCTAGAAAAATTCACAAATAGACTGAGAAAATAACCCAAAAAAATTAGAATAACATACAAGTAATATTAGATACCATTAAACGCCCAAACATACAGATCATCGGTATCCCAGAAGATGAAGAAACGAGTAAGGCCATTGATAATCTGTTCCATGAAATCCTAGAAGAAAATTTTCCAAATCTAGAGAGGTACTCAAATATACAAACCCAAGAAATATAAAGGACTCCACACAGTTTCAACCTAAGAAGATCTTCCCCAAGACACATCATAGCCAGATTGACCAAAACCACAGACAGAAACAAGATACTAAAATTGGCAAGAGAGAAGTGTTAAGTTACTTTCAAAGGATATCCCATCAGGCTAACATTGGACATCTTCTCGGAAACAATGCGAGCAAGGAAAGAATGGGAAAATATATTCAAAGTGTTAAGTGAAAAACAATTTTGACCAAGAATACTACATCTGGCAAGATCATCCTTCTATGGGAAGAAAAGCCTGAAACATTCTCAGATAAACGAAACCTGAAAGAATTTATCAACACCAGACCAGCTCTTCAAGAAGTGCTGAAGGGTATACTATACCAGTAAAACTAAAGACAGACAGAAATAAGAGAACAAGAAATGACCAAGAAAAAGGCCAACTTAATAGTAGGGGCAAGTTCAGAAAGATCAGTAACAATGTTGAATGTTAGCTTCCAGGATTTAAATGGGAAGATCAGACCACAGTAATACTGCAAATTCTATAGAAAAGACATTAATCACATGAGTCTGAACTAGTGAACTAGAATTTTTTGACTATAGACTAAAACATTACTGATTTTCTTCAATGCTTTGATTTTCATTTTTGATGATGTTTGTCTTCCCTTGAACTGTTTATAGGTACATCTAGCTACTATTTGAACTGAATCCTAACTTTTTCTGGTTTTAAGTTTTAAGCAAATTTCTCTTAACATTTTTTGATTTTGAACTATTAAAACTAAAACTGCTTTTTAATTTAAAAATACCTATTAATACCTATTCAATGACTGCAGTAAGCTATATAGCCCAAGCAAGGTGCTACTTTATGGTATGTTCACTTTACTCACTGAAGTTTACACCTAAAGTCAGACATGTGTTCGTAGATTGGTGATATATATATAAATGCATGTGTGTGTGTGTGTATATATACATATATATATATATGCATGTGTATATATATGTGTGTGTGTATGTATATATATATATATATATATCACCTGTATTTGTTATTGAAAGTTTTTAACTTAATTAAGATCTTTAGCAAATCAACAAAATGTAGGGGGGGAAAGGCATGGAAAACAACTACAGATTCGAGAGACAGTGTGGAATAAAGGGAGGGAATTAGCAGAGCGTGAGAGGTAGGGAATCAAGGAGGGGGGGAAGGCAAAATAAATAAGAAACAAGAAATAGAAAATCACTTTTTGATGATAACATGTATAGTAATATCCTGATTGAACCAATATACAATGTATTCTGGATGAAAAATCTCATTTTGTATATTGTATTGATGTACAATGAATGACTGTAAATGAATAAATTAAAAAAAGAAAGCTGGGGAAAAAAGTAAACAACAACCATATCTGCATGTCTAGTCACCAGTTTTATGCTTCTAAGGGACTTAGGAGCAGTCCAGAAACAGCAGCAGCAGCTTTCTGATCTCTGGAGGCAGCCATGGTAGTGTGACCTGGGAACCAATCTTGCAAGGGAAGTCACCACCTCCTGGACATCCTTTCTTACTGACCTTTTGAATTCTTGTATTCAATCCCTTTCTGCTTGAAATACCTAGAGTGGGGCAGGCCCCTTGGGATAGTGGTTAAAGTCAGCAGATACGTGACTACGCAGTCCAAATCCTAGCCCCAGCGGCTTGTAAAACATACCAGGCATATGTACATGTGTGCCAAAAATCCCAACAGTTTAGAGAGATGAAGGAAGGACTGCAACATGACAACAACCCATTGAGGAATGCCTTTCCTTCTGTCTCTCTCCCTCTCCCTCTCTCTCAGACACATGCCCTCTTGCAACTAAAAATAAAAATAACTACCAGAGTGCTAATCCCTGCATTAAATCATGATAGACAAAAAAACCCATGATGCAGTCTAGTCCATAAATCAAAAGAATAAATGAGTATGGATTCATTAACATGCAATTATTTTTTTTCATCAATAAGTTCAAATTTGTGTTTCCCACAACCTTTAAAACAACCTTAGAAGAAGCAAATTGTACTATATCACAGATGAGGAAAAAAAATCAGTCTTAAAATTGAGTTTAGGGGGCCAGCAGGTGGCATAGTGGATAAGGGCACTGGACCCCCACATGGCCCACCACGGTTCCAGTCTCGGACCTGGTGGCTTGCTTTCTCACTTTCCCTCTCTCACTCTCTCTCTCTGTGTGTCTTTCTGGTCAATTAAAAAATAAAATGAATGAATAAATAAAATTAAATAAATAATTCTTTAAAAAAATCGAGTTTAGATATTTTAAGGAAAGAAAACACTAGTCAAGAAAAGGAGGTCCTAGACAGTAATACACCTGCCCTGTATATAACACATAGCCTTTACCCAAACTACTGAAATCTTTTCAAAGTAAGAGTCAATGGTGGTATATAAGATATAGTAATAAAAAGTTCCCTTAACAGAGTACAACATGGACAAATAAGCCACACTCCAAGAAAGGAAAGATGGAAGGAAGGAGGGGAAGAGGGCCAGTCAGCATATTTTCATATTAAATAATCTAGTGTAAAATACAAGAAATCTGTGAGTCCTCCCAGAACACAGCCTCTAAAAATGAACCTTAAAACAAGATGTCACCGACAACATTGTTTTCATCCACTGCTGAGAGGTTGGAAGAAGTTTAAATCATTTTTAATATCAAATTACCCTGAAGGACCCTGGTTCCGGTGACAGCACCTCCAAAGAAGTAGTTGAGTTTCTACTCCCAGAACGTGTTCTTGAATTTGAGGCTGGTTTTGAAATTTCATCTAGGTTTCCCTTTATAATATCCATTGATATCCTGAAACAAACAAACAAACAAACAGATAAATAAAAAGCAAGTGATTTGTATGTTTAAATGTTTCTTTTTAAAAAATAATTATTTATTTAATTAATTACATTTGTTGTTGTTATTATTTTTTAATTTGACCAGAGAGAGAAAGTGAGAAAGCAAGTCTCCTGGTACAAGATTTGAACCGCAGTCAGCCATGTGGTAGTCTAGCACCTTGACCATCATGCCATCTGCCAGCCCCCAATGAATGTTTAAATGTCTCACTGATTAATGTTAACATCCAATTACTCAGAACCTTTGCTTTTGTTTTTAGGGTTTTTTTGAGAGATTTTTGCTATAGGGTGCATGTGTTCCCTAGAGAGACAGAGAGACAGAAAACAAGGAATCACTCCCCAGGGAGGGTAGCCACAATGCAATCTCTTCTCCTCCATTCTCCTCTCAGGATCTTGGGCATGCACGCACATGTGTACAGCATGAGTTTCAAGCCACTGGGTCCAGGACTCAAACTGCAGTTGGCCACATGTGAGTCCAACACCCCAACCACCACGCCACCTGCTGGCCCACAGTGCCTTAGTTTTAAAGATTATTTCAAAGGTTATTACTGAAGTCACACTTAAGGGTTTCTCAGTTTCGCCAAAAGAAATCTTGTGTACATGGATTGTTAAATCTTGTCATATGAGCATAAAACATACTGCCCAGAATGTTAAATACTAAAAGTGGCTGAAAAAGAATGCAAAAGTGAATGCCATCTTGTGGCCCCCTGTGCCTCCAGGAGAAAACATTTGTGTCCTTGGCCTTCACTGAGGGAATACCCATAAGGAACCCTGCCTGTCACCCAAGAATCTACTTTATTTTAATGATTTGCAAGCAAAGTCCTCCCTGCTGCCTTCTAATGATTTGCCTTCTTGCAGTTTTTCCTACTCTAGCCTTCGGCCTAGGTTTCTCTCCCAGCTTGGTGCCATGTTTTCATTTTATCAATCTCTCCTTCTAAAACCTGTGATTGCACTGGTACTCTGATGCAAGGGAGCAAAACTTTTCTTCCTTTATTAGAGGACAGACTTTCATTATTTGGCTACACAGTGCCAATTTCTTTAACTGTCTTATGTGGCACCTCACATCCTGGCTCTATACCCAGTGCTGTTTTTCAAAGCAAGAAATATCAGGCAGGTGACTAGAACTAGGAGGATGTAGACATACCCAGCACATTGATCTTTCCAAATTGTGCCCTTGATCAGGCCCATTCCGGATTTATCCAGGGATATTTAGGTAACATGCATGCTGGATAAAATGATAGAAATAAGGATAATTCTAGCTTTTGTCTTCTCAATATTTGGCTTTACATGTGAATGGATATTTCAACAAATCCTTTCCTAAATTCCTATGAATTATGTATTAAGCCATTATTTCTCTCGTAACAAAATGAGGAAAATCAATTACCTCTACTACAACAATGTCCTTTTCTTATCCAACAAAATGATTCATCTTTTATTTTATTTTTTGAACAGCAGAGACAGGGTCCAAAGAAACTTTGGACATAAGAGGAAGCACAAAGAGAAACCACTTGAGGCTGCTCTTAGGTACACAGAGGGATAACATGATGTGGCCTATGACCATTCAGCATGCCAAAACTCATGCTTAAGAGACCAGTAGGTCAACTCTCCCCACCTCAGCAAAAGAAAAAGGCATTGATCTCAACATTATTCAAGCTCTGCAAAGGAGTTTGAGCTCACTCAGGAAGGCACTGACATAATTATTGTGGGATGATGAATCACCCTGGCCTGTCACATCACAACCAAAAAGCGTAAGTCACCCAAAGGCCAAATGTCTTGTAAATGCCCTAAGAAGCCTGTCAAGGAGACTTACTGCAGCTTATAGAGGAAGAAATGAGATGGAAGGACGTGCAGAACCAAGATAATAAGTGTCAACAGAGAGAGAGGCACAGAGAACTACCAATGACATGGGTCAACTAAAAGGCTCCAGAAATCCTTTATTTTGCATTAGAAATAGGTCTGTTCATTATGTTCACTCTTAAAAATAAAAAATTAATAATAAAGTAAAATACAGTTTCCAGCAGAGGTAAGGAACTACCAATGACATGGGTCAACTAAAAGGCTCCAGAAATCCTTTATTTTGCATTAGAAATAGGTCTGTTCTATTATGTTCACTCTTAAAAAAATAATAATAATAATGAAGTAAAATACAGTTTCCAGCATAGGTAAGGATGTAACTGACAATCTTATGAATTTGGCCAGATATCAAAAGTATGAATACCTGGCATTGAAATAGGATCTTACAGATGTACTTGAGTGTTTGAAAAGAAATCTACATTGTCACATTGAAATTCCTCAAGAAAAAGAATGCACTGTATAAGAAAGAAAGCAATCAAACAATGTAGTTATAATCACATAAGCAGGGAATGTTGATTTAACCAAATATTGTGCCGTAGTTATATGAAGTGCATGTAGGGAGTGTGTAAAAGAAGGAAGGGTAGTATAAGAAATCTAATATGTCACAATAGGAAACAACTGTAAAATAAACATAATATTTAAGAATTCAAATGGTTTCCTTTGGAGACTAAGACCAGGAATTGCTTTTTCCCTCCTCTATGATAAATGTTAAAATACAGTTTGACATTTTAACATTACTTTAATAAAAGCAAAAGCTAAATTTAGAAGTAATAAACACAAAATATGAATTTCCCAGGGATTAGAAGGAAACAATATAATTTGCATAATTATGGAATTAATGACTTATCAATTGTGACACCAAGAACATAAGTCAAAAAGAAAGAGAAGAAAATTGTATTAAATAGCACTTAATACTCTTCAGTGTCAAACATAAAAAAAAAATTCTAAATAAAATTAAAAGGCATCTGAAAAACTGAGAGAAATTTATGAAATATAGACAATATGCAAAGATGAATTTACATATTTAGAGAGTTCTCACTAATTGATAAGAAAAAAATACATTCCAACAGACACTGGCTTGAGAACATAAGTAACATACGATAGAGAGAGAGAAAGAGAGACAAACCATCAATAACCTGGTTTTTTTTTTTAATCTGATTTTTCCAATTAAAGGAATATACAGAAAGGTACTTGAAAGATATCACATGAAATGAAAGTGGTGTGCTCTAGACTGGTGGATTCCTAGATATAATTCTTGTGTCCTTTTTTTTAACCCTTTGCTTATCTGCATTTTCTGGTTTTCTATTAAGTATATCTTGCATTAACAATTTACAATTTTATTTATTGTAGAATATTTCTATTAAAGAACTTACTAAAAAGCTATTTGAAATAAAATTATAACCATCCAATATCACTACATCCTGAGCTAACCACTGATGCTACGTTTGCTTTCCGTTTTAGCTTTGTCTTTTCTAACAAAAGTTAGCTCATACAAGAGGCCTTCAAAAAGTTCGTAAAAAATGAGTATTGTGAAAAAACTACGCATACATCAATCGCATTTGTATCCACTTATTTTTGGTTTTTTTTTGGAGAGGTTTTTGCTACAGGACGCGTGCACTCGCAAGACAGACAGAGAGAGACAGAGAGAGAGAGAGACAGAGAGACAGAAAGCAAGAAATCACCCCCCAGGGGGGATGGTCATGCCGCAATCCCTTCTCCTCCATTCTCCTCTCGGGATCTTGGGCACGCACGCACACGCGCCCGGCGTGAGTTTAAGCCACCAGGTCCGGGACTTGAACCACGGTTGAGTACGTGGGAGTCCAGCGACATAGCCATTACGCTAACTGCTGGTCCCTGTATCCACTTTTTGAAATATCTTCATTTTTCTCATGTAACACTACATATGAAAATGTTCTCATTACATTAAAATAAGGAAAATATTATTTAATTCATGATACTCAGTTAAGTAGACAGACATATGACTAGATCCTAAATTGTTGCAAATCACTTGTTAACACATGCCAACTTGTTATAACATTCATTTCAAACAAAATTAATTTAAACGTTCTTACATGAGAGAACATTGTTGCACTGTGCGAAATGCAACTACCATAAATGACTTAAAGACAAAATAAGGACATAAGCTGATGTAATTTGATATTTTGGATGGAAGAAAGAATCAAATGATAAAGAGTCTTCCCCTGTTACATAATTATAAATAGCAAGCCTTTAAAAAAGAAGAAGAAGAAGAAGAAGAAGAAGAAGAAGAAAGAAAGAAAGAAAGAAAGAAAGAAAGAAAGAAAGAAAGAAAGAAGGTCCACTAGGTGGTGTGGCAGTTAAAGTGTTGGACACCACATGGACAACCATGGTTCAAGTCCTGGACCTGGTGGCTTGAAAATTACACCTGGTGCATGTGCATGTGTGCTCAAAAATCCCAAAAGGAGAGTGGTGGTGAAGGGACTGTGGCCTAGCCATCACACCCTAGGGGGTGATTTCCCACTTTCCTTCTCACTGCCTCTCTCTCTCTGTATCACTCTGATGAGTACATGCAGGCTATGGGGAGAAAAAAGTAGAAATACATTCTTATGATTTTTATGTCTAAGTATTATTTAGATTCAAGTTTTTTATATTTATTATGAAAAGCTTACCACTGAGAGAAAAACAAAACAATATAGAAGAATGTATTATAAAAAAAATTTAAGGTTAAAATTCTCCTTGCCCTTGGACCTGACAGATGTATATAGAGTATTAAATCCAGTGACTATGGAATATACTTTTCTCTCATCGCTACATGAAACATTTTTCAAAGACTGGCCATATAACATGTCATAAAACAAGCCTATATAAATTTATAAGTATAGAAACTATACCCAGTATCTTCTCTGGCCACAATGGAATTAAACTTGAAGTCAACCACAAAAAGAGTCCTCAAAAGAAATAACAACATGAAAATTAAACAATCTACTCCTGAATGAATTTGAATGTGATTTTTTTTTCCTAACTATTGAAGAAATTAAGACTGAAATAAAAAATATTCATCAAAGGGACCACCAGATGGCATAATGGCTACATCACTGAACTCCCATGTAGTTGACTGTAGTT